TACCTGAATAGCATGACGAACATATTTATAACGAACGTTAAGCTTTAGCAAATGTTCAATCGGTTATAACGAACTAATATTTTGTAAGATCGGTCTAACCATCCTCGAATATGACTTCATAACTCTCATATATTGTTCTAATAACGAACTTTCTATATTGCAAGCCTTTGACAAATTGTATGATTGTATAGAGCAATAAAACAGGTTCAAAACAAAATGGCTACTATTTTGCAGTATAAAATATAAATTATACAAATACATGCGGGCACTTAAATACTCATACATATTTTAATTTGTATTTAGCAGTTTTCTTCTATAATTTACTACCCTCTAGACATACAAAATATAATTATGTGATAGGTCTATATATATATAGGTTTTAATGAAAATCTCCAGCTTTTGTTTTTGGCCCCTTCGTGTCCGCTATAACCGAGTTCGACTATATTTTTTCAATTAACTGAACGCTTTCGTAGTATTTATACACATTTTATAATTATGATTTATTAGGTAAAATCATAATTGTCACTGAATTGTAGCCTTGTTTATAACAATTTTTTGAAAAAAACTTCTCATTCTTAATTATTTAACAATTTTGTAATTAATTCTGTAATTTAAATTAACAAAATTTTATATAAATACACGCATCTACAATAAAAAAATAAGCAAATGTGAGGAAACTAAAATAAAGTTGATATCTTGATATTTTTTTATTTCAATTTTAATATTTTATTTAAATTGAACTTATTAAAAGGAAATAGAAAAGCTCCCGAAGTACTTACGAACTTTGCTTAAAGATTGTCCATTAATAAAGTTTATTAAAAATACAACACTGGACGCAATGCTGTAAGTCGAAACCATTTTACTAGTTAGTCTTTCAAAGAAAAGGGGAAAAACACACTAAATTTCGCACAAAACTTTCTTGTAAATTCACATTACACCGGCAAAAACAAAGTACGGCATAAATTAACTCAAAAGTAGAGTTTAAGACGCGAACCAAGTGATGCTGACAGGACAAATGAATAAGAGTTTTCTTTCACTTTCTCCCAGTCCCAGATTAATTTTTTGAACGTAAGCTAAAGAGAAATATTATAATGAACACCACCACACCACAATGTAATGTACGACATGCACAATATTAAATGTAATCATTGCCCGAGTCTTTTTACCAAACGAGTTTATTCACTCGACGATTTCGCTTTGACTATTGCGCGAAATTGACTTAAAATTTCTAACAGATTACTTGCCAATTATCAACTGATCTATTACACGTTATAATTAACGTTTTTGTAACTCAAATATATCTAGAACACTTGCAATTCGCCACAATAGCACCATTTTATTGCAACATTGCTCTCAGCCTTGAATCAAATTTACATTTGCATAAATACTTTTACTATTATATTATTCTATTTATCCAATAGATTTATCCTTAACCATTGTGGGGCTTATTAAGACGCAAGTACTTTTTTAACTCCTCGAAAGTGGTATAGTTTAGCGATGTTTCTGAAAACGATCATCTATAAACTGGAAAATTTTGAGTTCAAAATAACTGATGGTTTAAAATAATTATCGTAGAGAATTAAACTACCAATATGCAAAAAATATATCTCTTTTGACCACCCCTCCCAGTTCAATCAAATTTTGAAATGCAAATAACAAACGTTTATCACAGTCAAGGATTCAAGGATTTCAATTTTTCGGACCTAAGAAGATATAGTCGATTAAATAATTTTAAAATCTCATCAGAGTTACTCAAAAATCAAAAAAACTGTTAATAGCCCTAGACATTAACCATTTACATTAAAC